TGCCCACGGCGGCTGATTTCTTGGACATCGTGTTGTCCAAGACCCAGCGAAAGACGCCAACGGTCAGCTCAATTCACCTAAATATCATCCAAGGAAGACTCATTGGCTGCATAGGTCATCCACAAAAACTTCAAAATCAGCCGTATACGGAACTTCTACATGAGAAAAGTCAAATTCACGCAAGATACATTCGACGAAAAACTGGGTGCGATACTGAATGACTTTCCCATGTTAGACGTGCGTTTACTTTTTTTTTCGATGTTGGAATAATGCTCACATTCAAGGTAGGATCTACACCCTTTCCTTTCGTCTCTTATGAACGTTCTTTACGACAAAAATCATTACAAACTTGCCCTTGGTCAACTTCGCACCGCTCAAAATCTTATTGACAATGTAGCCAAGGACTTTGTCAGACTGATCAAGTACGGCGACAGTCTTTACCGCTGCAAGCAACTGAAAAGGGCTGCTCTCGGTCGGTGAGTCATTCAGTTCTTTTGTATACTTCGTAGGATATCGAATTTTGTCGTAGAATGGCCACGATTATGCGTCGTCAAAAGGACCCCCTCGCATACCTAGAACAAGTACGGCAACATATATCCCGTCTCCCTGCCATCGATCCCAATACCCGAACCCTCCTTATCTGCGGCTACCCCAATGTCGGAAAATCTTCATTCATCAACAAAGTCACTCGGGCTGACGTTGACGTCCAACCGTACGCCTTCACCACAAAATCTCTATTCGTAGGACATCTGGATTATAAATACCTCCGATGGCAGGTCATCGACACGCCCGGTATCTTGGACCACCCTCTGGAAGATATGAACACGATTGAAATGCAGAGCATTACGGCGTTAGCTCATCTGAAGAGCGCTGTCCTCTACTTTATGGATCTGAGTGAGCAGTGCGGTTATACAGTTGAAGCACAAGTGAGTTCTATAACCAATTCGTGCGACCGAAAATTATCTGACATCATTCTAGTGCAAACTCTTCCATTCCATTAAACCCCTCTTCAACGGCAAGCCGACTCTCCTCATCATCAACAAAATCGATGTCATGCGTCTAGAAGACGTCCATCCTGACTCCCGAGCCCTTGTCCAAGAGATCATTGATTCCGAAGGTGTGCAATGCGTTCAGGTGTCATGCTATTCCGAGGAGGGTGTGATGGAACTTAAAAATAAGGCCTGCGAGGCTCTCCTCGCTCACCGCGTTGAGTCCAAAATCCAGGGCAGCAAAATCAATTCCATCATTAACCGGATACACGTCGCGCAGCCTAAAGCGCGCGATGACGTGGTTCGTGCACCTTGTATACCTGAGGCAGCTAAGAACAAGAAGAAGTTCGACAAAGACGATCCTAATAGGCGGAGATTGCAGAAGGATATCGAGTTGGAAGAGGGTGGCCCCGGTGTCTACAACATCAACCTCAAACGTACGTGACTCCCCACCTTTTGTTAACGTTAACTGATTGTATCAACAGAGGATTATCTCCTTACTAATCCTGAATGGAAGATGGATATCATACCCGAGATTATGGACGGTAAGAACATTGCCGACTTCATTGACCCCGACATTCTGGAGAAGCTCGACGCTCTCGAACGCGAAGAAGAGCGCCTTCAGACAGAAGGGTTTTACGATAGCGAAGAGATGGTGAGCACCTCTTGTTTCTTCTTCTTCGCTCACACCTAAGGGGCTTGTAACAGTACGACTCCGACGACGAACGCGAAGCCCAAGAAGCTCAAGTCGCCCTCTCACACAAGATTCACTCGCAGAGTATCAAGAAGAGCAAAAAGAACCAGGCTCGTATGCCTCGGACTGCGACGACACGGTCACTGTCCGATTTGACGGAGGGGATGACCAAGGCAGGCTTGGATCCGAGTCGGATACAAGAGCGTGCGACGGTGCTGGCCAAGGTGGCGGGAGCGAAGCGGAAGAGAGCGGAGGAAGCTGAGATGGATGTCGATGATGGTGACATGGAGAATGACGGGGAGGACGATGATGGGATGGACGTCGATGGTGAGGAGAAAGCACTGGCGAAGCGCGTTAAGGGCAATTCTGGTGCGGTGGTGGCGATAGATAGACGGGCACCCAAGACGAATCGACAACTTGCTGGTTTACGGGACGAAGGGGTAAGTGTAACTGTTAAGCTTTATGATACTGCTTGCTCACGTATATCCAGCAAGCATCCAAGGCGACCAAGCTGCGGAATCTTGGACAGCGGCCGCGAAACCAACTTGCCAAGGCTGGAGAGAGCGATCGTGCAATCAAGGTCAAAATGGTGAGCAATCTGCAGGATGGAATATTGTGCAAATATCTGACCCCTCCTCTTAGCCAAAACATCTGTTTGCTGGTAAACGTAAGGGTGGGAAGACCCAGAGACGTTAGACAGGCTCTATTTCCTTCTCACTCATCTGTGTCACGGTTTTTCACATTTAGATGTGTTTGTATATGCAATATTACGATAATCATTATTGCCGTCAAAGAACTGCGATCGTTATGCTCTCTCAATACACTAAAAATGCAGATGCGAGGAAGAACAAAAACCTAAAATAGATGAGGAAAGTATAGTGCTACAAGCTGGGACGCAGAACGCAGAACGAAGACTTGAATAATGATAGTAGCGTCAAAAAAGTGCAATCAAAACGGAATGTTTAGAGGGCGTCCTCAGAGTCCCAACGCGAAATCTTACCCAGAGGGCGGTAGTAATACTGTTTATACTTCTTCGTTTCAGACCTTTTCGCCGGCCTAGGCATCATCGCCCTCATTAACGACGCGCGTTCCTGGTCTTCATCTCGCTCCGGCACATAGAACCACTGCGCTTCCAGGGGATGGTTCGAATCATCCTATATCAGACGAGAGATTAGCGCTTGATAACACAGCCTCACAGATGCGCTCACCATGCCACTGCTTTCCACCTTGCCAAACATACCATTTACACGATGAGCCTCTTCCAGCACTCTCATGATGGAAGCGATCCACTCCGGATCTTCTCGTTGTGATTTGAGTGCCGGCCGGTTCTGGATGACAGCTTTGTAGATGGAAGAGGCTCGATGCGAGGAAGCCCGGGACGTGGCCATGCTCTCGATGATCATACCGCATAGTTCGGCGTCCTCAGCTGAGAGGTTCAAGGGAGGTGGAGGCGGTGGCTGTCGTTTTCCTGGTTCTTCATCCTCTTCATCTGACGATGAGTACGACGGCTGTCGACGTCGACGTCGAGGAGGCTCGGCTTGCTTACGTGGCTTCCTTGCTTTACTCTTGGTCTTGGTTTCGGGTTTTGAGGTGGTGTTTTCATCGTCTCCAGCAGCACCGGAAGACATCGAATGGCTACCCAGCCGAGGCTTTTTCTTCTTCGGACCATCATCTTGCTCCTTTTTGCGCTTCTCGTGCCCCATCGTTACTGCCGCGATGTAGTCAACTCCATTCTTCTCCTTCAACGTGACCTCAGCCATCTGACCCTGCTCTGGAACCTCCTGCTTCGTCGGAGCGTCACTGATTGTGACGATAACATCGCCCGATAAATCTCCCATGGGCACGCCAGAATCTTCAATGTTGGTATTCACATCGGTGTCGATAACAACAGACAAAGCTGGCGGTGGAGAGACTAGTCGTCGATCCTTGTCGAAGAAACCTTCGGGACTCGGAGATGGGGGTGCTGAATCTGTTGATATGACGGCGGTGATAGTATCCAACTCGGCGCCACATGTGATCGACGTTTCTGGTATCATGAAGGGAGGTATTTCATATTTGGTCTGAACCTGTAAGGGTGAGGCTTGTGAACGATAGCAAAGCTCCATGTGCCAATACACGTACAAGTGGCGACGAAGAAGGATCCATGGTGACTGAGAGGTGAATACCCTCGATGTCGATGTCATCCGAGTGGAGCGGAGGAATGATAACGGGAGACAGTGGAGGTAGAGCTGAAACGCTTGTCGGTGACATAGGGCCGATCATTGGCGATACAGAAAAAGACATGGGTGACAGAGGTGGTGACGAAGGGGGCAAAGGTGAGTAGGGTCGATTATCGTCATCTGGCATCTCTGATTCCGATGTTATTGGTTCTGTATCAACATCGGCGTCATATGAAGTCTGTCTGTCATCCGACTCTGGGGAGAATTCAGAGGTGAAATCCAGGCCTTCCCCGGAATGGTGGGGGTTTATGGAGAATCCTGCAGGCTCAGAGGCGAGTCGTCTGTCAGGACTTGGTGGAACTGGGCGAGACGAGGTTGGCATTGAATTGCGTTGGTGATACGAAGGCTGAAAAGGTATAAGATCGTTCTTCCATTGGCCCCGCTCTTCAGATACTCGGAAGAACGTAGCCCTGGTTTCGACACAACCTTTATCTTCCATATCATGGTCCTCCTCTTCGCTGTCTGTGTAGAAAACAGAGGCATGGCTTGGGGATACGTCACTGGGCGCGTTGCTACGAAAGAGGTGGGCCTCGGCGATGTCAGAGTACTCTTCTACATCGGACATAGGTGGAGGTAAATCCCCAAACATGGAATGAAAACTGGGTAGTTTGCACGGAACTTTGGGATGAGGAAAATGGAGAGGATGTAGTTCTCTGCGGAAACAATTCGACGCGCCGTTGCCCGGATCGTGAATGGCGATACAATACCCAGGACTAGGGCTTGACTGTATATGGGCTTGACATGGCGAATATACGGAATGAGGTGATGTTGGCGGAGACGACGAGCACGGTGGTGATGACGAAGGAGAGGAATATTGAGCGCGATGAGCTGTCGACCATTTCCAGGTCGACACGGAAGGGAAGGACATGACGGTTGGTGATAAGATGCAGTAAGATCACGTGCAGCGCGTGTCACAATCAACGCGTTTAGGCGGCAATTTAAGCGCCGCTCGGGTTTCTCCGAAATGATGTAATCACGATCGCAGCTCCTCCGTCCCCACTTCCACTATTCAGGATGCTCATTTCCCACCGCAAGGAGCCCATTAAATGTAAAAGATAACAATATGGATCCTTAGGGACATTAATTATATAAAAATGCTGACCCCTAAGCGAGTTGAACGCTTGACCTTGTGGAGACAAGACTTAGGGATCAACCGAAGCTGGAATCACACGCTCTACCACTGAGCTAAGGGGTCTACGTGTATCTTTTGTAGAGATATTATATTACCAATAAACTGCTCATCAGGATCTGACATTCTCATCGATCCGTCCCAAGCTCATACTAGATTCGTCACTGGAGATGGGACGATTTCGAAGCCAATATCCAACTTACATCAGATACCCTCTTTTATTCCGCGATGATATTATCCATCTTGAATCACACTGCTTTGCGCATATGTGCGCGACACGTGTATAGTAGGACTAGTATCCGATCTGTCACCACAGCATCACCCCGTACGGCTATCGTCACCGGCGCCGGCCAAGGAATGTGGGTCGTACCATGCTCTATAGCAAATGATATGATCATCAAACTGACTCTACACCTTCCGAAGCGGACGAGGGATAGCTCTGCGCCTCGCCCGAGACGGATTCAATATCTGTGTCAATGATCTTTCATCAAATGCGAACCAAGTCAAATCAGTAGGTCTATCGCTGTCATACCTCCCCTATGTAGTAATGCTTCTATGCAGGTAGTAGAAGAGATTACTTCCCTTGGCGTACGCGCCGTTAGCGCCTTTGGAGATGTGTCAAAGCGGACCGACGTGGAGGACATCGTGAAAACATCTGTTGATACCCTCGGACCCCTCACAGTCATGGTCGCCAACGCAGGTATCGCACACTCCAAGCCCATCCTCGATATTACCGAGGATGATCTTCGACGAATATTCGAAGTGAACGTTATGGGGGTTTTCAACAGTGATGCAATAGCTGCGAAGCAGTTCATTAAGCAAGGAACCAGTGGTAAGATTCTCAACGCTGCTAGGTAGGCCCTCGGGCTTAGCTTCTCAGTGACGATCACCTTCTCATTCGACTCCTCTGCAGTGGAACATCAGTCCGAGCAGACCATCTCCTCGCACATTATAGCGCCACGAAAGCCGCGGTGCGAAGCTTGACACACTCCTTTGCTATGGAACTTGGCCGACATCGTATCACCGTTAATGCCTATGCCCCCGGCATCGTAGCTTCTCCTATGCGGGAAGAGATCGACAAGGGAATGAGCGAAATAAACGGTCTCCCGATAGGCCAGAATTTCTCCAGGTTTACGGATTCGATTTGTTTGGGCCGAACGAGTGTACCGGACGATCCAGCAAAGTTGGTCTCGTTTTTAGCGGGCCCAGACTCGGACTATATGACTGGACAGACCATTGTTATTGATGGGGGGAACGTGTTTGTATAGTAAGAATTGGTGGAAAGGATGCTCCTGATATGGGGATATGCACTATAGTTAGCACAATGTTAGATCATCCGAGGGCGATTTGAATTGTCCGATCCACGGCCTAAGGGATGGTACAAGGCAGTGCGAGGCGCGATGACGTCCACCAGTGGACCTAGGGTGCACAGGATAAAGGAGTGTTCTCTATCCGGACTGACGAGGTTGATCCATCAAGACTAGATAAGTCACCAGAAAGCAGAAAATGATGGGTCGTAAACTGATGATACTGTGATGTGAGAGAACTGCAACGGTGTAATGATCTATGCGTAGCGATGGACCTTGAATAAGGGCTTTCGAAGAAAATTCTCCTAGTTCTACCTTGGGGATACGACGGACATCCATGTAATCAGGGGGGAACGTGCTTTATACGAAACCCAATATCAGGGAGGTCGAATGATTCCGATAAGCAGATGGTATGGAAATCAAAAGATAGGCAGCACGTTTGATGTCTACGACGGGTTGTACTCTGTACGAGGATTTTAGCAGGGACCTGAATAGAAAACCGGAGCGAGAGCGACACCGGGGGCCGTAGTCTCATAACAATGAACCTAGGAAAGGGTATAAAAGAGAAGATATACTCAGAACAAGTAATACGGATGACTTACCAGGACGTTCCGGGACAAAAAGTGGAAGGTGGGTGATCCGTGGCGAGTCGGCAACGCGTCCCCAAAATCTCATGGGAACGCGGCCGTGGTTGGCCGCTGCGGGTCTAATGAATGGTTAATTCATGCATACATCTCGAGCGCTGCAAACTTACGCGTCTTGTCTTACCCTGGCCATCGTGCGCCGTCCCCGCACAGAATAGAGCGGCTGGTCCCTAATCGGTAAGTTCCCGACACAAGCCGCCGGCGCCTCAATGAAACTTGGGCAATTGCCAAGTCTCACGCGCGACGGAGTATCCTAGTAAAGAGATGGAGACGCAACTGATGATAAATTCTCAGTAGGCACTGCTGGGATTGATAAGATACATATCAAGTAGGGAAGAAAGGATTGATCAGCTCGGCCAAATCGGATACGCAGCAGTCCTCATGCTCAACATGGTGAGAAGGTACTGCAGTGTGGGGTTATTAGGTCCTAGTTAAAATGGATGATTAAGCACTTGGAAGTTACGTGTGCTAAAGACTTTGGCACAACAAAAGAAAGTCCCCGCCACAAGAGGTGACAATAACAAGCAAATAGCAAGACCAGGTGAAGAAATTTTTATTTTCTGGGCGCCTGCAAAGGCCAGTTTACTGAATGGAGACCAAGACATGACGACGAGAGTTTCGGGAGGAAGGCACGTGCACGGGATATAAATCTGTTCCTCACGTCACACGCTGCCGCAGAACAGGTTTCCGGCTTTCATCTGTGCTTGGCCACAGGCTCTTTCATTCCTTTCCTCACGACCGCCATGTTCCTTGTCCCCGTATCCTTACTTTTCATTCTTCTTTCCGTCTCTGCAGAGCCCATTCACGTATCCATAAGGAACAACGGCCCCCGCCAGGTTGATTACGCAGCTGCTGCGGATGCCCTTAGGGCAAAGTACGGCTATTTCCCCGCATCCCAGAGCAGGAAGCGACAGAGTACAGCTGGTATTGGTATTGTGGATCAAGTGCGTCGCCGCTTCTTTGTCCGACGTCGAGGCCCTGAGCTGATTGTCCCTTTTCAAAGAACACCGATGCGAGTTATTTTGCGACTGTCAGTATTGGAACGCCGTGAGTGTCGTTTCCACCTGGTCGACGTCGCGGAGCAAGTGGCGCACATGATAGACGGCCCCAGCTATGACGTCGACAAAAATTAAACGAGTTCCCGCTCGTCGGCTGCTCTGACGCCACGATCGTTTCGGGGCCTCGTAGTTTTCCTTTTTTTCAATTTCGGGTGATTCTGACGTCTCTCCAGGGCCCAATCTTTCGACGTGATTCTCGACACAGGTTCTTCAGATCTGTGGGTCGCCGACGCGAGCTGTTTAAGCTGTTCTTCTTCGACACCTTTGTTCGACACTCAGTCATCGTCGACATTAAAAACGGCGTCCGGCAGCAACTCTGAGACGACTATACGTTATGGCTCGGGGGCCGTGGCCGGAACGCTCTCCGCCGATACAGTATCAATGGGAGGTTTCAACGTGACCCAGCAAACCTTTTGTACGCTGGATGCTCTCCTGTGCTTTCAAATGTTGACCCTGTTGCAGTGGCTGTTGATCAGACAACAAGCAGCTTGTTGAGCGGTTCCGTGTCTGGTATCATGGGACTCGCGTTCGAACAGATCGCTTCTACACAGGCAACACCCTTTTGGCAAGCCCTTGTCAATGGAAACCAGTTGACATCTCCGGAAATGAGCTTTTGGCTTGCCCGGCACCGCGGTGAAACAAACGTACAACCAGAAGAATCGGGAGGCGTATTTACACTTGGAGGGACCAACTCCTCCTTATTCACGGGAGATATCGAATTTGTGAACATGCCCGTGTCAACGCCGTCATTTTGGCTTCTAGAGCTCCAAGGCAAGTTCTTATCGTCGTCTACGCGTTCAGGCTCCCCCTGATTCGCGTTTCAGCTCTTACCGTCCAAGGGAAAAGCGTCGCTTTAACCACGAGCGGTACCACGGCATTGTCTGCTATCGACACTGGAACAACTCTGATTGGTGGCCCATCCGACGACGTCGCTGCCATATGGGCTCAGGTTAGCGGTGCACAACAGGCCCGCGGACAGCAAGGCCTGTACACGTTTCGTGAGTGGCGCGCTTTCCTTACATATTTCGGCCGTTGGAATAATCATTTTCTCAGCGTGCAACACTAACGTCGATGTGACAATGTCGTTTGGTGGCAAGTCGTGGCCGATCAATAGCCAGGACATGAATCTGGGCCCCGTGACCGCTGGCAGTAATATGTGTCTTGGGGGAATCTTTGACCTTACTGCCGGAAGCAACATCCCGGAAGGAACTGGGAATCCAGGATGGGTTGTCGGGGCGACATTTTTGGTCAGTGTCCGCGTTTGTCGATGTCGTAGTAGAGATTGAAGCTTTCGGTGTAGAAAAACGTGTACTCTGTTTTCAGAGATTCGAATCCCCCAGCGATTGGATTCGCCCAGTTATCGAGCGCAGCAGGGGGATCAGGTGCGGGCCCCTCCTCCAACTCTTCTGTGTCATCCCTCACCTCGTCGATTCGGACTACCATAGGCACACCAGGAGCGGCTCCAAGTGGATCGACAGCAAGTACCAGTAATGCGGCAGCAAAGGCCAATATACCCTGGAGAGTAGACCTATCGATTCTAGGACTAGCTGTCCTATCGTTTTGGTTTTTATAATTAAAGGACTAACTATTCATCTGCAATTGCTGTCGGATAATAAACACGTACCAGTAATAATAGCGATGTATTACTTACACTGCTTGGTATGTTCTGAGAAATGGATGCTAGGTAGCCCTGAATGAGTTAAGAATGCCAAGCAATGTGTATGAGATTTTGGTGGTCGTCGAGAATGGTACAAGGTAATGAAAAGATTGGCGCTGGTAAATACGTGATTGCGACATAACAAATGCATCTGCTTCCGGCGGCCATCTCCTGAACGCATTCACGATACCTATATCACTTTCTTCCCTGGCATCAACGACCGTAGGATTCGCATAATTAGAGGCATATATATCGCAGCACCACCGGCGCTCTCTGGCGGCCACCAACAGCTTGCATGAGCCACGATGAGCAGCCAAGGAAACCACTGCTCCTTCGTCCTCCTGGCTGAATTTCACATCCTCGAAGGCGCGCAGCTCAAGTACCAGTTCCCTCAGCCTCT